CCCCCCCCCCCCCCAGAGAGTTTCAAGTAAACACTCTCTGATTTATTGTTCATGTATTTCACCTCCCAAAATATTGTGCATCATACTCCAGAGCATTTTGCTGTTGTCATGCTCTAGCGTGGTTCGAATTTATGAATATTTATTATATAATTAAAGTTTAGTGTTTTATAGAGATTTCGAGCACTGATTAAAATGATAATCTCACATGTGAAATTATTCATTATAATCTCACATGTGCAAATTATCGCTTTTCAGCTATCGCTTTTCTGTATAAATTATCTCTTTTCAAAGACTGTCCTTTATATAATAAACAGAAAAATACATGGGTGGTTGGAAATACCAGATTTATTTCTCGTGTTGAACATGACATCTCACTTGTTCGCTGCGCTCACTTGTGAGATATCATGTTCAACAATCGAAATAAATCTGGTATTTCCACGCACCCATGTATTATTCTCTATTTAAACTACAACTTGACTGGTTTAAATTATTATGAGGTTATCAGTGATTGTTAATATCGCAGATAGAAGTGTTTTGTTTTATGTCATTATCAAGTTATCAGTGATCGCAAAACCTCCAAATCCTTAATTTCAAATGCCCCTCTGGGGCACAGAATAAGGTACACAGAAGGTCGATTCGAGTAACTGCTGCCACGCCATGATTCATCATCAAAATGCTGACGCCATGGTCCTAGCCACTGCGCGTTTGAGAGGCATTCCCCCCCACCCATGAATATCCGCCATTTTGAATGTTATCAGGGGGGTGAATGCCTCTCAAACGCGCACTGGTTAGGTCCATGGCGTCAGCATTTGATGACGAATTACGGGTTACGCCAAAATCATAGGAAAATCGTAGGAAATACGACGAAGTCGGCCTTCTGTGTATCTTATTCTGTGGCCGGGGCTAAGGTTCGAGTGGAAATGCCCAACCCTCGGGATGTGCTTTACCGGAAAATGGCAGGACGAGGGGGATAGGCACACTTGGATTTGGCTGATGCATGAAAAGTCATGGAAAAAGAAAAAACTTTTTATATTGCTATTATAAAATGGCTTATTGTGCTTATTCCTGTGCTTATTCCAGACTGCTTGTCAAATACTTACTTGCTAGAAGTAGAAATTTACTCTGACCACTGGATGAAGAAGACATTATTTAAGTACTGGTCAATAAATAGAAATGTATTTTATTTCATAGTATTACAATTTTATTTTATACTATAAAAATAAAATATAAACATGCAGCATAGAATATGCAAATTCGAGCCAAAATTATAGTTGAATCGGTTTATTTAAAGGATTTTATAACAAATAACAACTATAAAAATTTATACCTTGTCTTCACATCGCTCTATTCTGTTAGCCAATGCTTTTAAATTTACATATTTTAGAATCAGTTCCTTTCCTGGTAAATGCATTTCTAAATGAAATCATCGTGAGTAGTGAGTGCTGAGCAGGCCGTTTTACTATAAACAAATTTTAGGAATTGATAACAACTTTGAAAAATATATCGTTCACATTCGGTCACAGTCGGAAAAATGTTCATAGTATGTTGTACCGTCGCTTGCAACTAACGATGAACAGTCACTCAGAAAAACATTCGCGTGATTAGAATCTTCAATGTTTGTCAAGAACAACAACACTTAATTGTTGTTTCCCATGTGTACAATAATAAGTTAAAAAAACTTTGTGTGGTCTGAACGTATTGGGCTAGGGACCTACTGGAAAACTTTACAAGCTTTTTAATGAGAATAGAAAATGTTTTATCTGCAACTGTTTACCCTTAGTTGCAACCGACGGTATTTGACAGCATAAAATTGCCTGTGGCTGTGATAAGTGATATAAATAAAATACAGTCTGGTTATACTGACTTGAGCGTGTCATGACAAACTCTTTATTGGAAAATTGTGAAGAAATAGTCGAATATAGAGGGTCGAATATAATAGTTCAACTTGTATAGCTACAGTATCTTTGGTACATAGCGTTGTGAAGACAAGCCTTTGCTTACCTTTCGCTTCAGCATTCTTTTTTTCCATGCTTCTCTACGCTTTCCCAGGCGAGCTTCTATTTCCTCAGCAGTCTCCTCGAGCAAACGTTGTCGTCTTCGCTCCCTCCTTTTCGCTAGATCTCGGCTTTCTTCTCGTTTCCTTGCCGCTCTTCATTTGGCTCCATATCTTTTCAATTGGTATTTAATACCTTAATTGTTTTATTATTTTTTTTATAGAACAAATTGCTTTGGAAGCTGTGAAAGTTTTTTGCAAACGTACAAAATACTGTAGTGCAAAAAGCAAAATTATTTTCATGAAGTATCTGTCAGTTGAAGTGGTCATTTGTCATACAACAACAAATTTTAAATTTGACCAATCAGTGTTCGCTATCCATGACAGTCCACCATATTTCTGAGATCAGTGAGGATGACCACCCACTCAAGATCGTCGTTCGTTGGTCACGCCCGCGATAATTGATGAACTTTAGACTTCGCTAATGCTTTCGTTTCCCCGGGTGTGAATAGCCGGGGGGAATTAGTACCCTCGCACGGCACTTCGCGCCGTCGGCTAGGATATTATGCGTAACATTAGCCCTTTGGCGAGGAAAAGAACATCTTATATCGCGAAAAAAGCATACCTTGTCAGCGATATACAGGGGCTATTCAATAATTAAAGTATAAATATTTATACTCGAGTACAACCTTGGTCATTTCAAAGTCGACAAACTAGAAATACTACTGGTAACATGGCTGGCTGCCGATTATCTTGGATTTGAGGGTTTTGAACAAGATATTACAAGATATACTGTACTGTAAACATGCATGCATCTACTTGAAGAATGTAAAATGAAAAGTGATGAGCTCTGAGTGATGAGTGATATAAAATAATTCTGTACTTATTTGGAAAACATTTTGGCAAATATTGAGAATAATGGCTTTGGGAATGTTGAAAATTAAAAACTGTCAGATAGCTGCATGGACAGCATGGTTAGAAGCATACCTGTCTTTTTCTGTTTTGGCGTAATGTACTCAGGTGAATATGATGCTTGTGATGTTACTCTGAGTATATATCCACACCGGGCAAGCTTGAAAAATATGCCTGACCACGGTGGGAATCGAACCTACGACCTTTGGAACACTAGCCCAATGCTCTGCCAACTGAGCTACGCGGTCAAGTCGGTTCGAGTAAGTGATATTTCGGAACAGAATCTAGTTCCTTCGATATCAATGTAATCTAATAATCATGATTTTTCTGTTTTGGTGTAATGTACTCAGGTGAATATGATGCTTGTGATGTTGCTCTGAGTATATATCCACACCGGGCAAGCTTGAAAATATGCCGGACCACGGTGGGAATCGAACCTACGACCTTTGGAACACTAGCCCAATGCATTGGGCTAGTGTTGGCCTAGTGTAACATTGGGCATTGGGCTAGTGTTCCAAAGATCGTAGGTTCGATCCCCATAGTGGTCAGGCATATTTTTTAAGCTTTCCCGGTGTGGATATATACTCAGAGTAACATCACAAGCAGCGTACATGTCAACGGATGAAACTCCAACTTTTGTTAATTGCCAACTGAAATACATTTTAATTAATGACAATTGATGTTCTAGTATTGGAATGAACAGTGTTATAAGAACCAATGGTGCTGAACCAATTTGGGTTTATTATAATATATTGTTTATCAGTGGTCGACCGGGGGCATGATTTTGGCCGGGGCCGGGCCGGGGTCGGGGGTGTATATTTTGGTTGGGGCCGGCCGGGGCCGGGGGTGCATATTTTGGTCGGGCCGGGGCCGGGGACTGGTCGAACATTGATATTATATGATGTTGAGCGATGTTATTTAAGCGGGATTTGGAAAGGCCAGTGGAATTTACTGGACAGCGGTTTATTGCTATCGTCAGCCATATTGGAAACATTTTACGAGAATAAATGGTACGTATCTTTTCTGTTTGTCGCTTTCGATATAACTACAGTCAATTTTGTCAATTTCATTACGCAACCTGAAACATATTATTTTAATTACTAACACCTAGATTATCATTATTTAGCCAGCTATGGCAGCAAAGCGGAAAGAGTCTGAGGTTTGGGCATACTTCAATATTATCGCTGATACTCCACACATTGCTAAATGTTCTTTGTGCTCTACTAAGATTGCGAGAGGTAAAGCCGATGCAGCAAAGAAAGCTTATTCTGTTAAGGGTCTTTGGGACCACTTAAATTCCAAGCACAAGGAGCAACACAAACTAGCGAAAGCTGCTCAAGAAGAATATACATCTAAGAAGCAGAAGCTGGATAATGAGGTCCTTGCAGCCAAGAGTCGACTCTACCAACTTGAACAGGCGCAGCCATCGCTTCAAGATTTCCTGACAAGAAACCAGGAATGAGCGAGCGATTCACCTAATCAAGTCCAGGCCGAGAAACTCTTGTTGAACTGGATTTTTGATGATCTACAACCGTACACAGTGGTTGAGAATCAACAATTTCAAAGTTTTTTAGCTGCCTTAAATAAGAAGTTTAACATCCCAAGTGAGAAGGTCATCCGCTGTACGATGATGCCAAAACTCTACAAAAATGCTCAAGGAGCTTTGCTGCAATCTCTGTCAACAGCTATCACAGCCGGGATCTACTTCAGCATTACGTGCGACATTTGGTCGTCGTTGGCACTAGACTCGTACCTTGGTGTTACAGTCCACTTCATTTCAGAGGATTTCTACAGAAAACTTGTAGTGATAAGATGTGTACCCTATAATGCTAGCCACACAGGGGAATCGATCAAAACACGGATCAGATATGTACTTCACAAGTGGGGGTTGCCAGAAGCGAGACTTCACTGTGTCGTTTCGGACTCAGCAGCCAACATGAAGAAGGCTTTTGAAGATTTCAACTGGATCGCTTGTTTTCTGCACCTCTTGGCTCTCGTCGTGAAGCGCTCAATATTCCAGCAGAGCAGAGTTAAACTGATAGTGAAGAAAGTGAAGAATTTAATCATCAAACTTCGGACTCCAACAGGTAACTAAAAAATAAAGTCAATTATGTCTTGAATCGGGTTCTAGACTTCTAGTACAGTAAGTTAACACACCATTAGATAATAAATTGATATCATTTTACACAAACTTCTTACAGGTAAACGGATCTTGAATGAGAACCAAAGCACTGACACCGCCTTGATAACGCCGTGTGACACGCGATGGAACTCGTATTATCTAATGCTGCAGTGTGTGACCTCCAAGAAGGCAGCTATTACCCTCAGCCAGCAAGATCCGGAGTTGAAACTCGAGGCACGACAACAGGTTAGTTAAATTGAAAACAAGCATGAAAACAAGCAGAAATTGTCATTATATAACTTAGGACAAGTTTGAAAATTTAACTTTACCAGCATTATAGATTTATAGTTCTTATTTCTTAATGCCATACTAATATATTATTATATTATACTCATTACTCAATACTCATTATATAAAGATATAATAATGTGACTCATCAGTCATCACTCATGATCGTATCATTCGTATGATTACTTACTATGATGTAATAAGCTAATAGCATTCTTAAGTCTTAACTCATTCAACCAATCAGATGAGTCCTGGCAACTGGGACAGATGAGTCCTGGCAACTGGGAACTGATTGACAAAGTCATCGCCATATATGAAGCCCATATTCCTTACTACGAAAGCTGCAGAATCTGACACCGTTTCCATAGCTGAAGTCATCCCGCTATTGAAGAAACTTAACTTTGACATTGGAGCCATCACATACTCTGGGATAGGAACTCTGAATGCAGAAGTCCTACAGCAAATGAAGAGGTTAGATAATACATAATATTTTTTATTTTTAAAAAGCATGGTGGTAGGTAAGTAGGCACCGGTTCTTCAATGCACGTAATGCATGACTAACAGTCTAACCCAATTTCAGATATTTTGTTGTAAAGTACGACATATAAAGACAAAGCAGTATAGTATTGCGACAGTCTTGGACAACAGGTTCAAGCTTGCTGGTTTTCAGAAGAACGAGAACGGTGTACTCGCGAAGGAGATGATTATCAGGTGGCGCTTGGCTTACTTATCATTTAATTTGAAATTTTCAAATTAAATGCTTTCTCAATTCTCACGAAGTTATCACAGTATCACACACTGGGATCTGTGATTTTCCAAATGCAGATGATTAAATTTACGTAATACATTAAATAGTTTTATTAGTTTATACATAACATAATAGCTATTTGCCTATTTACCACTCCCAGCGATTTAGCGGAGGTTGCGGAACCAAGACATGAGGTGGAGAGTGGCGAAGGCGAACCTTCAACCAGCAAAGATAGTTGGGCTGCAGTTCTTGTTGACAATGACTCGGGTCAGGATTCACAAGATGAAGAAATGGAGGCACCCTACAGGGTGGAACTACAACGATACCTCAAAGAAAAAAGAATAGCTGACTTGACAAAGGATCCACTGACATACTGGAGAGTAAAACACAACAAATTCCCACATCTAGGAACTTTGGCGTGCCGCTACCTGTGCCCTCCTCCAGGAAGTGCTGCATCAGAGAGGCTATTCAGTACGGGAAAGAACGTTCTTGGGATGAAGAGGCTTTCGCTAAAACCTGATAACATGGAAGCGAATCTATTCTTGAAGTACAACATTCGAGCTCTAGGATACAAAACGGACCTACCCAGGGTAACGGATGACTTCGTTGCCCCCAACGAGGGGAACCTGCCAGAGGCAGTGGTGGGAGAGGTTCATGATGACGAGACGAGTGACGTCGAAATAATCATGAGCGACGATGAAGACTGAAGAGTAGAGACTATGGCCAGTGGGACTACAGAACTAGACACAATGACGAATGGTCTCTGGAGTCTGGACTCTGAACAATAGTTACATGATAATATACATTGATATTCATTAAACTATACTATTCAACACTGTTGAATCAACAGTGTTTTTAGTTTTTACTACGTTTTTACTAGTTTTTAGTTTTGCTAAGGTTCCCTGAATCTTGACAATTATAAGACAATAATAGAAAGAATTTGACAAATTTGAGCTTGAAATCCCCAGCCAAATTTCCAGAATTTTGGCCGGGGCCGGGCCAGGGGTGCCAAGAATTCCTAGTATGTTCTCCGATATACGTCTCCCTCTTGAAATAATAATTAGCAATCCTTTCCTTGACTGTAAGATCCCTTCTTGGGTAGGGCTTAAGCATGTGTTCCGACAATGGGAAGGCTTCGTCTGCTGTGAGAACAAAAGGAATTGGTTTTGTACTTCCCGGTAATGGGCGTAGTTGAGATAAATTCAATGTTGTGTAGAACTTGTTTTAGAGAGCAACAGCCCCAAGCATGACTATGCAGGTTTCGGCCATTAGTTCCCACATCAACATAGAGACACTCGTACTCTGGGCCAGCCATAACCAAGGCAATGATGCTCTCATTTCCTTTGTAGTCATGGAACTGGGAACCAGTGCCTGCAAACTTTTGCATGACAAACCTTTTCCTGTCAATGGCTCCTACATTATTGGGGATATTCCACCTGGAGTAAAATAACTCTGCAATTTCGTTCCATTTTCCAGTGGTGTTTGGTGTTTTCAAATACTCATTCCCAAACACACGGTAAATAGCGACACATACTTCAATCACAATCTGAGATATTGTTGTCGTTCCGATCCGAAATTGGAAGGAGAGTGATTGAAAAGTCTCCCATGTGGCAAGATACCTAATTGCAAGGGCCAACCTTTCGCTTGGGTCAATATCAATAGGCTTTCTCATACATGTCTCTTGCTTAACTATAAAGGGCAAAATTTTTTCTGCAAGCTCGACAAACTTTGTGTATGGCATTCTCATATACTCAGCGAAACCAGGCATATCTTCAATTGCCAACTCCCTAAAAATTGTGTGGTATGCTCCTCGTTCATCACACCGTTGCAACCACTGACGACACCAAATTCTCCATTTCAACATGACAGAATCTTCTTCATCCATCAACATCATTAAAATAACAAGCAATTTTTTCTTTTGATCCCAATCATTCAAGGAAAAAGGAGTACAACATTTGTAAATGATAGCCGCCATCTTTGTTTTTACTTGTCATATGCAAATTAAAATTCTTGTAGTTGTCTCTTATTGGCTATATTCTTACTCCCTTAGGGGACATCTTGCAGCACCATGCACATGAAAGGTCATGGCATCGCTGCAACGTTTTGTTCCCGCAACAAGTCGCATAAAGTTCAACAAGTTGAACTACTTGCAACATGATGCCGGGACAAAATTTGCACCGAATTGATGTTGCACGATTATAATACTATCAGCAGACACGATGAGATGTGTCGCTGCAACATTAACCCGGAATATATCCCCGCAACATTTCCTTGTGTGTGTATACATTGTGATTTTATCCCTGACACATGCCTCTCCGCTACAACACCCTGCTACATGTTTCCTTAGTGTGTATTGCATATGATTTTGTCGTTGGCACTTGTTGCTGCAACATGTCCCTGTAAAATAACCCCTTGTGTTTTCTGACATAATTGTATCCCTGGCACATGCCTCTGCTACAACACCCTGCTACATGTTTCCTTAGTGTGTACTGCATATGATTTTGTCGTTGGCACTTGTCGCTGCAACGTGTCTTTGTAAATTGATCCTTCGTGTTTTCTGGCATAATTTTGTCCCTGACACATGCCTCTGCTACAACGCCCTGCTACATGTTCCCCTTGTGTGTATTGCATGTGATTTTGTCGCTGATACCTGTCGCTGCAGCATGTCCCTGCACCAAAACCCTTCGTGTCTCGGCACCTTAAATGTTATATAATGAATATAATTTGCCTCTTCCAGGGCATGTAGCTCAGGGGTAAGGTTTCCCTAGTGCCCGAGATCATATAAACAGCAGCTAATTAAGACATGACTTTTGCAAACTTTGTTTACCCATTAGCTGGTAGTGCAAATATGTGTAAATGTGCCCTACTTTAATTAGTACCGTATCTAATCTGTTTGATGCCAGACGCGTTTACTCATCAGTGGTAGAGTATTGCCAGTAAATTATGACACTTATACTGCCAATCAGCCATGTCTCTTATTACCTCATGTAGCTGGCAGTGCACCCAACAGGGCCTCTTTTAACATATGGACTGGCAGCCCTCTTACAGGCCCCTCCAGTCAGCAATTTT